TCTCAATCTGTTCCCTGCCATATTAACATTGGGGAGAACACTAACCCCCCATCACACTCGCAGACAAACCCATGTATTCTGTGGGATGTTATGTATCGTACACACTTCCACCAGGGGCTTTGCCGCTTCTTGACATCTTTCATTGTACACTATAATCCTGTGAATTTGTGAGCATGCAAGCCTGTGTGTATGCATGTGTGTGTGGGTGTCAATGTGTGCAAATGCCATTTCAGCAGGGGGCCGACCCCCACTGCAGGTGACATTTTTACTGGAGAAATGTCACCACAGCCATTTTCTTCCCATATGTTTGTGTGTGTCTGCAAGTGTGTAGGGTGTGTGAGTGCGAGTGTGTTTGATTGGGTCTTGGCAAGCTCCAATTGATTTCACAGGAGAGGCATGTTATGTTCCAAACAGCAGAATATCTTGCTGCCTTGGTTCCATGTCCTCTCCTTCTTTAAATACCCATTTCTTTCCCAACCACTGCAATGAGCGAACATGTCAACAAAATCCCAAAGCTAATTTAATTAACAAGTTGTATTTCGTTTGATCAGTACAAAAACAAAGTTGTGATCTAACAGGGTGTTATATTATCCAGGATATTTCTTGGCCTGGAGCCAGGCTAGATGTCCCCTACTTGTTCTGAATGGGTCTCGAAGTGTGAGGTAAAAAAAAAAAAAATCTATTTTAAATGCTTAGCTATCTGATGTTGGACTTTTATTTAGACATTTAGAAAAGCTTCCATAAATTTCTGTTAAAAAATTACTGATGGTTCATTTTATTCATATTCATAAGACACCAGTTGAGAGCCATTGTATTAAGACATATACAAATAGTCTTTTTTTTGTGTGTCTGATATGTTTTTTTTCCAAATTTCCAAATTAAAATCCTAAAAAAGGCATCTACTCCTACCTCACTGCAAATTCCAGAATATATTAATATGCAGGTTTTGTTCATTTTCCTGTTGGACACAAGATGTCTCCTACTTCACTGTAAAGTCCATCTCAGTGTATGTGCACTGGAGGCTTCAAGTTTCTACATTACACTGTCCAAACTATTTGTGATGTAACAAATCATGCTGGTAGGCCCCGTCCCTTAAAATCTGATTTCCATTGAGCACAGAGAAACATTCCACTTTCAGCAGATTAATGTGAAATCATCCTTCTGGTGTCAAACGCTGC